AAATGACTACTTAAAATGATTTGAAAAGTGTTTTGGAGTTTTCTATTTCAMTTCTAGGATCACAAAGCAACACACGTTATTAAGATGAGAAATAACCAAAAAATCAAAAAAGTTAATTACTACCCCCCTTTCACAAAAGAAATAATTCCCCCCCCCCCTCCCTCCTGTGAATTTATTTATTTATTATTCGTGAATATAGTTGTCGCAAATCGTGGCTTTTCTTGAAAGGTTTTTCATTTCAATAAGTATTTGGCCAAATATCACAGAATTTGACAACGTTGAGTTTTCAGTTTTAGATTTTAGACGTTTCCCCCCCTCTTTAAAGATTCTCAAAACGCCCACCTCATAGATATTGCGCAATCCCTAAAAGCCTTTTAAATCATAAGCCTTTCAATGACATCACTCAATAAAAACTATTCTCATCATGTAAAATGCAAATTTCTATGTGAAAAGAAGCTCAAACGTAAATTACTGATTGGCATTCAACATTAGTTATTACCTTGGATTTAGTCAATTTCCAAATCTAAGCGTTTTTCCTACGACACATAAATGATGTGATAGTAAAACAAATAAAATAACGAATGGATGAAGAGATGAATGGAATATTCATTTAAAATGAATAGAAGAAGTTGATATAAATATAAATTAATAAATAAAGGAATAAAATGAAKAGAAAAGGATAATAAAAGGGAGAATGTTTGTAAGTGATTAATAAAAAGTAAAAATCTGATGATGTAGGTGCCTGTGTTTTGTAGGAGCGACTCTTCATGCTGTACTTCTCGCTTGCACTAAATCGCAACTTTCATGATTTCTCTTATCGTAGAGCCGATACCCTTGTGTTTTTGAAATTAACACGTAGGTTTTACCATAAACCATTTTGACAGTTAACATTTTGCCTTTTGAAGCTCTTGGAAGATTGGTCACAAAAAGAGATTTGAACAAAATTAACTTCGGCGTTTGATCCAGGCTCAAGACTTTGTAAACTCATCATAGGGCATGTCACAAGACTCTCGTGCTCGTCGCTCGTATTTTCATTTCTCGTGATTGGTTTTCTCTTGTTTGATAGCGAGTCTATATGATACGGGTCTATTTCACGTGGTTTTGTGATCTTGATATAAAGTAACAGGTCGATTAATTTACCTGCCATCAAACACCTGTTTATAGTCAGAACCAAGACATAATGGTCTAGTGGTTCACTAGTATTCAATACCAAACAGTGAAATGCTTATAAAAAATTACAATAGAAATACAACGATCTCAGCTATTCACGTTGCCATCTCTGTAGAACAGCGTTTTCTAAAGTATCCTTCTTACTGATGAATCCAGCCATAAATTCAGAAAAAATAACACTATATTTAATAAAGATATACACAACAGATATAAAACGTTGATGACCAAGCTGTCAAATGTACTAAYAGACGTCTTTTCGAGTCACGYTCKMYTCMCCCCTTTTACTCTGTCCAAAGATACTTTTTAGATTAGCTTACCTTTAACTGTCCATYCCTCATAGCGATAGTGAGTATTTTTTGTGTTGTTACCCATAGGCAGAAAATCKTTTTGATGACATAAATTTGAGGTTTCAAGACATTTTTAACAATTTTTTCCAGAATTTTTTATGAAAGATAACAAATTAAGCTTCGTCGTTTATTTCTTCTTTCTTTGGCGCTCCTATGCACAACCAGAGATGGTTTTCAGGACCCTGCCGGGAGTAAAGAAACGGTTGGCATTCTTATGAATGGCGATACAGTCATGGTTAATAAATGTKGGCTCCCTATGGCGATCCCTTTGTCTTTGGCARCCTATTTGAAAGTCTAAAATAACAATGTCGTTCGTTTTGATTAACGTGTTGCAATATTAATCAATTGTACAAACACATCTAGTGCTACTTGAATAACTCCCCTCAAAGTATCCCTTTTTATGATTGACACGTTGCCCATTGTAAACTTTTGGCGAACTGAGGGGGGTGGGGAATTTTTTTTGTCGGTGCAGGAAATGTTTTGTAAACCCTAGGCAAGTGCTCCAAATTTATTTGGTAAAATTGCAAATATTCTGGTGAAAATTTCACCTTGCAAATTATCCACCCCCTCCCTCAAAATGTAATTATTAGCACATTAGATTGTTTGACTTGATACGGGGTGTAGCCCCTTACCTGAACTCTATTGTTCTACTAAATTCGTACCTGTTTAAATGTCTGGACTTGACTAAACTCCGTTAATATTCAATTGTTACGAAAAACTAATAACGTTTCAACGTACTCAACTACGCGTTAACTATGAAACTGTTGACATTGTGTTCGTTTATTATAAGGTCTTCATTGTTATTATCCTTATATGAAGTTATTGTCGCTGAGGACAAAGCTTTAGAGTCGTCTACTTCTGAAGGTATTGATGAATCTATAGATAACTTGGTATCAGGCGAATCAGAGAGCTCTGATRTAAAGGAACAGACAATCAAGATATCAGACGGTAATAAAAGACAATACAATGGTCCAGAGAGACTTGAMGTGTCTCCAGTTAGCCACTTGAGTGAGAGGCCAGTGAATCACGTTTATTTTGTACCAAAACCGTATCCAGTGTTATCAGTACGATACGTTCCTAAACCAGTAGCAGTACCCTACCCAGTCCCGACCACATATGATATCAGACATGTACATATCAGAGATCATGGTAAGTTTAAGACTCCGTTTTGACTTAAAAAAACTAAAGATTGTCAAATATTGGCTTTCTTTGTTACTTCTTTTTCTGAATATCTCATATTTCCCTGATATTATAAATTCAAAGTTTATATTTAGATGACCCAGTCTCTATACAGATATAGTTCTGGTATGTAACCTACGGGAATACTTAGGGAATTAGAACTACTGATCAGTTTTTTTTTTAACTGTTTTTTTTTTGGCGGGGGGTTGGGGGGAGGGGGGGTTCCCCTATATACCAAGGGAAGTCCTTGCATAACTCGTTTCATGTAGTTTTAAAGACCTGCGGTTATACAATGAAGACATAGAAKTAAAACAACCATTGAAATAGATATAATACTAATACACCGTTGTATCTTGCATTGTTTTCTTGTTTGTCTATTTGACTATATCACTTTGATAGTCACGATTTGTTTCACAGGTTTAATGACTTCAGCCTAACATAGGTAATGATGCTGTCATGCACGAAAAATTAGTTTCGAGAAAACCTTATCAAGGAAATAGATAAATGAMCACTTTTACATAAACAATACAATAATGGTTATTGTTGCCATAGTAGAGGATTCCCCCTTAAAAAGACATATWTCTGTATCTGCGCCAAGTTATACAAGGGACGATTGGAAAGTTTTTTGGTAGGTGTGGTTTGTTACAGCAACTAGTGTCGTAATCGCTAATTATTTTCATTATTTATTCACAGCACGTGATTTCTGTTCGTCCAACCCTTGTCTTAACAGTGGTACGTGTGTCGAGGCGACCAACACATTTCAGTGCATTTGTCCAGCTCAATACCTTGGGATCGTGTGTGAACGTGAGTGGAATTGATCTCGYTTTTATCCACTTTTATCCTAATTTGTGTAGCCCGTGGTTCGATTATATATTCTATAACAACGTTTTTAGCCGCATGGGTTACATGGGTAAGATTCAAATCCCAACTAGATTTTAAAATCGTCCAACAAATTCCACATCGCTGCTACCTACCAATCCCGACATAACGGCTCTCTTTTGATGCTTTTAAATTTTCTGACCAGGTCGCCATYGCTGCAAACCAAATCCATGCAAAAACAATGGGAAATGTTCATTAATCGCTGACGAACAAGGATACTTGTGTACTTGTCAAGACGGTTTTATAGGAGATCGCTGCGAGAGTAATTATCATCGTATTTTATATTTCTTTGTTTATTCATAATTGTACTTTTAACTCTAAGTTTTAATGTTCAGGTTTAAATCGGTGTTATCCTAATCCCTGTAAAAACGGTGCCACATGTCAGCGGATTGGCAACGAAAAATACCAATGCATATGTCCAATAGATTTTAAGGGAACGTTATGCACAGGTAACCCATCAGCTAATGTGGTATTCCCTTACCAAGTGGCACAGATAACCCATGTTGTTGTTCCTAGAGCCCAAGAAGTGTTTCAACAGTCTATGTCATAATGGTGGTACTTGTCACGAAACTGACGTTGGCTATAAATGTACCTGTAGGATTGGCTATGTAGGACGCAACTGTGAAAGTAAGTCACGTGATAATGATGTCATTTCCGGTCCAAGCTGACAATATCAAGCGTTTKATTTTCAGAGCATGTTTGTAAGCCGAACCCATGCTACCACATGGGTGTATGCAAAGTACACTCTGGTCACTATTACTGTGTATGTCCCGCTATTTACAAAGGATACCGTTGTGAAAGTAAGTCATACTCAATTACTGCTTCCTGTATGTCATTCTTCTTTCTATCTCCCTATTCAGTGTCCATTCCTTCCTTCCTTCTTTCCTTCCTTCCTTCCTTCCTTTTGTTTATTCGAGCGATTTATTCATTTTTCCCCAGTTCCAAACCCATGCTATGCACGTCCATGTCGCAACAATGGAGTCTGCATTGACTCGTACAGCGGTTACAGCATATACCCAGATAAGTGGGACATAGGATATCTCAACTACTTGTGTTTGTGTCGGCCTGGGTTTCTTGGCGCCAACTGTGAAAGTGAGTACTCGGTACAAAYTCCCCTCGGACAAGAACAACAAAGTCATCTACTTAGCTCAACAAGACTCTATTACTAAGTAATTTTATCTACTTTAAAATGATAGAACATAGAACATAAAACAAAACAAAACTTTATTATCCCTCCTCAAAATGGCTGATAATTTGTCATGTAAACTTCGTGTAAATGAGTTCATAGTGTCATATTCTAACCCTTTATTGTTCTTAATCACTTGAGCCAGAACGTTTCTATTGTGAAATCAATTGCTCATTGATTGGGCTTCCTCTTTTCCAGCGGATATCTGCAAAGTCTGTGACGTCAATGCCAAGTGCATCAATAGCACGTGCGTATGTGTGGACGGTTTCGTTGGTAACGGGTTCCACTGCAAAAGTAAGTAAGTGTGGTATCCCTGTGTTGCTCTGACACAGGTACACTGATTTRCGCATTTTCACTCAGAAATTCCACATCCATGTCATCCTAATCCATGTAAGAACAATGGAATCTGTAAAGAACTGGACGGCGGACAGTATGACTGYATTTGTCCAAGTGGAACAACTGGACAACATTGTGAAGGTAATATTGAAAGAAAGGTGGAAAATGTACAAGCGAATGGAAATATAAASGAATGAAAGTAAATGGAAGAACAAAAAGAATAGTCAATCTTGTTCAAGAAGAAAGTCGCCAATGAATAATTTATTCTCGTAAAGGAATCAAGAATAGTTGGTTTTTCTCAATGAATATCGGTAATTATTTCTTCTAGTGAGTTCTTGAACCCATGGTGTTGTGTAATAAAAGTACCAAAATGTATTCAGATCGTAAATCAACGTTCATATTGCCACAGGGAGGCCGTATATGCGATCTTTGATCGTCTAGTTTATATTTAGATAAGGATCCTTGTTTCCCTAACCCATGCCAAAATGACGGCAAGTGTTTCGTTGCTGGGAGTATTCCAAGGTGCGTTTGTTTACACAACCATACGGGACGATTTTGTGAAATTGGTAAGTGACGTCATTTTATGTGTAGCAGTCCTGTAAAACTGGTTTATCTGGTATATTATCCTGTTAAATGTTTATTTTAGTGATTGAYCCTTGCTTTGGGCAGCCATGTCAGAACGGTGGAACATGTGTCAATGATCAAGGAAAAGCTGTGTGTAGATGTAAAGGACATTTTACTGGACCCACATGTAAAGGTATTTATATTTATTTCGTGCGCTCCATTAATTCACAAAGACTTGGATTGTTAATTTTTTACTACGATGATCACAATATATGCTTGCATTATTTGCTTGCCGCCATTTGGCTCATAATTTGAAAACCMACAATTATAAACACATTTAGAACGTACTAGATATAAGATATTACTAGTGGTAACGAGACAACAATACATACGTCATGCTATTCCAGGAAAGGTCTACAAATATATTGAAAAAGTATTGCTATACCAATATGATGTGTTGCCCTGATCTTTGACATGGCGAATGGCACACTTTACATTCCAAATCATACTCGTAATTCCAATACAAAATCKTTCTAATCTATATGAACGTTGTACTGTATAAATACGATTTTACTGATGCAATACCTTTGAAGAATGCTCGTGTCCCAAGGGAAACAAGAATAGCGATCCACCAATTTACGCGCAGTCCTGTGGTAAGGAGGGAGGTTGTATTTGTGATGATGGCTTRGTGCTGGTTCCTAATGGCTGTAAAACAGAAGGTATAWTAAACACATCCATTAATTAAACTCTAAATTTTATAAGCACTTTCTAACTCTCGCCTTATTGTTCCATTTTACGAACACCTCATTATTACGGATAGATCCAAAGAAATTCCTGGAAATATCTTGCTACTGAACWCTTTTACGTTAAATATAATGATAAACAAATAATGATTTTGCATTATGGAAATAACTTATCTAATATTGTAAAGGTAACGCGAACAATAGCTTTATGTAATGTAAATTACTTATGATTTCATTCCACAGAAGTATATTCGTGTAAGCCGAATCCATGTCAAAACGGTGGAACATGTGTACCGACKTGGGACGACTGGAGCTTCTATTGTAAATGCACAAAAGACTGGACGGGAATCATTTGCGAMCTGCGTTAGTAATGCACAGTGGTGTTTTATTATTTATGACAAAAAAATGAAACCCATGTGGAAGGCAATCTTTGCGGTTATTACTGTCTTCTATCGTTCTATTAACATTGACTTCATCTTGTTTCAGCTGTTTGTCCTGTTGATTACTGTAAAAATGGCGGTACTTGCCAACCACGTGACCACAAACCGTACTGTACATGTCCAACTGGTTTTACTGGTTCAAGGTGTGAAATACATATGAGTAAGTACGATATTTCAGACTTTGTCTGTAGAACTTTGCTTACACATTGCACTGTCTTGTTAGAGAAGCCTACAAAAGATGTCTGTCACCCAAATCCATGTTTGAATGGAGGCACATGTTCACCAATCGATGGCAGTTACGATTGTATTTGTCATGTGGAGTACACAGGTCCTCATTGCGAAGGTATGTCTGACTGACTAAAGGACGGTTGGGTGGATTGTTTGGATTGATTGATTGAATGTGTTTTATTTTAGTCGATAAGTGCGCCAAATGTGATATTCATGCTGTCTGTATTTATGGCAAGTGTAAGTGTCGCCATGGATACGTAGGGACTGGTTTTGAGTGCGTCAAAGGTGAGTCTACAAGAGAAAAAGACTGGTTCCTACAGATCGATGAATTGATCCTTATGTCTAATGTTTAGATCGTATCAC